CCCACCAATAGGGAGCGCTGGAAACCCCGAAGGTGCCAGTGCGGTTGACCCAGACCACATCAGAGGCCGAATCAGCCCGGCAACAAGTGTACCCCCAGTCCTCTTCCCGAATCTTTACAAGCCTATGAGCTGCTTTAATGTCTGCCGAAACGCAAAAGGGGGCCTCTCTGGACTCGAAAGCCTCCCGAACGACAGCAGCGATCTCTGCTGGGCCTGGGCATTGTATTTGGTCTTGGTAGACTATGGAGTGATTCACTTTAACGGAATGGGTGGCGTCGTGAAGAGGTCGAACTGAGCCATCCGGTTTTGCAATGGCCGCCATGGCCGCCACTCTCACCCTGTGTTCACCGTATTTTGTACGAAGGGCCGAAAGCTTCGAAGGAAACATTCGTCCCAACGATTCTTCTTCTCTGAACTTCTCTTCCAGTTCTTTGCGACTCAACTGACCTGAAGGATAGTTCACTGCAAGAGGGTTAAATTCGGTCTCGTCAAGCTTACGGTGTCTCACCTTGGGAGGAAACACCTGTGGCGAACGAGGCAATGGCTCCTCAACACCAAGGGGAACCCCCGAGGCGAAGGAATCGCTCTCATCAACCAACCAATGCACATCTGGGTCTTCAAAGACCTTCAACCACTGCGAGAGAGCACGAAGATAGAATGGCTGACCTTCATCAACAATTCCCGCATCCTTGGGGTCCTTGAGCAATGAAGCCCAAGACTTCCGCAACTCGTGCATCTCGTCTTCAGGGAATGGAGACGATGCCAACTTACCCGTCACCAATTTGAAGGCTAAGAGACGATGATCAGTAATGTGCTGTATGACGAATCTTTCCAGAAGGGAAAAGGTTTTGGCCGCCAACTGATGCATCTCAGAAGACCTGCGTTCACCTCTTGCTAAAGGTGGCCATCTGGCTGGGCTGCACAGTCCAAATCCATCAATGAACTCATGCGACTTATTGTCCCATTCTGCCAGCATGGGCCTCCCCCTATTCAGGCAAGATTCCATCTCAAAGTCCGTGTCTTGGTCATGACGTTCAGTGGGCTCTTTGGAATCCAAATCAATCACATCCACAAGACATGACGAAGAAGACGCCTGGCTGTCCACTGGAGGCATAAGTGTACTCCCCGAACGAAGCTTCTTTGATGGATGGCCCAACGAATCCGAAACAGAGCGAGGTTTGTCCTTCTGCCCCTTCCGAACGGATGTGCTAACATTAAGGATCAACTGAGCGATGAATCTACACAATTCTGGTGGGTATGCTGCGCTGGGGGCAGTCTTCCAGCCCTGAGCTGTTTTACCAATCAACTTGGCTTCATGATGATGTCCACAATCCCTGGGCAAAGGGCCTAAGTACTTACCAATCTTATCGAACTTAGGCAAAGACAAATGGCACCTACTATCAACAACGGGAAACGAAGTGGCAAACCTGGTTGGCTTGGGCGTCTCCGCCCCGAAATGGCATTGGTGCACTGCAAAACAAGAAGCTGAACACACAGTGAGAAGCTCATGAAGCTCAGGCCACTGCCAAATGGAGCCTGGCCGCTCACCCTGGACTATGCCCAGGTCCTCAGGATGCTCCAAGATAAAGTGGCCTTGTGCCGCAAATGCCTCATGACACATGTCCAAGCACTTCAAGACAAATTGATTCGCCTCATCAACAATGCCCTTATTCGAATTGCTCAACCACGGAAAACCTTTCGGCCAAGTGACATTCCGGACCGGTCGAGGGCCCGGGTGGTTCAAGAACTGGAAACGTGCCCTGCTGAACGTGTTACATGGAGGTGAAACAATGAGAAACCATGAACCCTCGGCCAAACAAGTTTTGATGTCAAGCCACAATGCATCCTCACGCAAGTCATGGTCCGGTGATCGTTCAATGTCGAATTCCTGCAACTGCAATCTAATCTTGCCCATACTCTCAAATTCTCTGAGGACGGAACCGATGTCTGACTGCCTACGCTTTCCGGCAAACAAGTACATGACCTTCACAAAAGGCAATGGACCTGGATCTTGTGGAGCCCCCACGGCGCCGGAATCATGAGAGCCCCGTTCCTGTCAGGCGCCAACCTTCTCTTTGTGATGGATCGCGGGATGATCGCCATAGCAACCCTTGACCCTACACTGATGAACGCGATTACACTTGCCCTCACATTGGCCGAAATTCCATGCAAAGCAGAGATCTCTATTGTCGGGTGTGCGCCAAGCAAGTGAGAGACCTGCCAACCTCTGATCCTGTCCGTGCTTCCCCTTTCCTTTGGCGCCTTTCCCAAATGCCTTGCCCTTTGAATCCTTCCCCCACCTGCCTTTCCCACCTTTGTCAGTGAGGCGCAACCATTTGTTGGGCGGAGCTGATTCCTGGGATGTAGCGGCCTTGAGAGCAATGGGGGTGGTGAAATAAGCCTCTTTCAGATCGGGGTCTCGAATGACTGCGGCCAAAGCATCAGCAAGTGTGTGTCCACTGTTGGTAACAAGCTTCATTGCCTCCTTCCTCAACTTATATTCGAAAGCAAGAACGATAGCCCAGTCAGGCTTCAGCCTCTGCGACTCCCCGGCCTGCGAAGGAACCTGAATCCCCCAAACCCGATCACCTAAGATGAAATCAACAAACTTCAAGAAAGGTTCGGCCGTCAATCCATGGAGCCAATGCTTCGAACGAAAACGAGCTGCCATGCACAACCATGCAAACATCTCGACCTTCATGACCCGCCTATACTCCTCTGTGGTCGTTGGCATCTTTGCCTTCACCTTCGTACGTGTCGCGCGAAGATGGCCTGAAGGATCAACGGATGATTGGATTGATGCGTTCGATGATTCTTTCTTACTAAGGATCTCATCAAGCTGGGCTGCAACAGGTTCGTTGCACTCAGTCTCATCAGCCTTCAAAGACAAATAGTCCTGAGATGGAGACTCGGCTTCATTCAATGCACCATGGACTGCCTCAACAGCTCGAATCATAGCTTGGCGTTCATGAACCTGCAAGACACGTGGTTGGCCCATGACTTTTGACTCCGCTCTCAACTCAACTTCTTTTGCAATGAACTCTTTGGACGTTTCCCAAGCCACCACAACCGATGCAACCTCAGCTCTGCTCTGAGGAGTATCTCCCGGAAGGGCAAAGTCATCCCTACAGGCTTGACGGACTCCGGCCCTGTCATCGGCTAAAGCACTGAATCTCCTAAGAGTAGTATACGCCTGAGCAATATTATATTGGGTGGCCACAGAAACACCTGACTCTCCCAAGATGAACTGAATGTCAGAGTCCATGTGCGAAGCAATGTATGCTCTCCGCCCCGCATCGTCGAGAGGCGCTGCCATGCCGCACTTCCCAAAGTGCACAGAGTCTTAACTCTGAGGGTCTAAACCCAAAAGAAAAGAGACATGTCTCAACATGCCACTAGATAAACACAAAGGTCCTGAGACACAGAGTCAAAACTCAAGAATGAACAAATGATCAACACCATGACCAATCATGATCTCCCAGCTCAAACGCTGGGGTGGAGCCTGAGCCCACTGCCGTGCCGTCTGAACGGATTCAAAAGGAACTGCAAGTAAAGCCAGAGCACTCTTAGGTCTCAACCCTCCAAATGTCTCTGAAAGCATGCGAACAGGCAAATTTCCACTTTGGGTTCACTTTTAACAAGTGTCCTGGGGGCCCGTTTTTTAGATCAAAAAACGGGTCCCCAGGTCACTTGTCAATACTAAGAAATTCACCCAGCTCCAAAGCCGAAACCAAGTGGAAAATTGCCAATGCGAACATCAAATGATCAAAACTGAAAGAAAAGGAAGGAGAGAAAAAGAAGCAAAGTAAAGGCACATACACACATCTCTTTTCACTCACCCTCAAACTCTGATCACTCCCCACCACTCGCTTCGGTGGATGAGGACGAAGCCGTGGAACTCGAATCCACCTGTGCCTCCTTGCCTCCTTCAGAGAGCATCTTTCTCTTGCACGTGCGACAAATTGAATCAAAGTCTTCCGATTTGACTTCATCTACAAAGATGACTTCACAGCATTTATTCGGCTTTACAAAGCACCCGACCAAATGGAGCCTGCGAAAGTTTGCCCTGCGAGAAACCGTAATGAAGAACTTCGAAGAAGGTGTAGACAGATTCAAATCTGACTTGGCGTGCATAGCAATCTGAGCATCTGGCAGTTCTTCATCACCACCCTCAACGAGCTCCCACTGGTCATCGTGAACCCTCAATAAAGGGAAAACACCCCCAAGACAATGGTTAGCTCCATCAAGAATCATGATCAAATGCCTACGTTTGATTCGCGCAACATTGATCGACCGAGCCTCTGCCGATTGGCACAACCGCTCAAATGCCTCATCTTCCATATACGGGATGTCGCCACCCTCCAAAAGAACCTTGTTGACCTGCCTCTGAATCTTGAAGACCACTTGACGTGATGTCCTGACATACTCCTCTGAAGCCGCCATCCCCATGGCCCATCGACCCAAATAAGCACGCTCATCCTTTGAGAATCCAATAGTCGCGGCCACTGAGGTGAGGAAATTCCGCGGGCTGTGCCCAGTAAAATGAGTCTCCAGCCCATCAGGAAGAAGGAGCGAGGTTTTGTTCAGGACCCACCTAGAATTCACAATCCGAGGCGTTCCCAAATTGCCCAAAAGCCTCAACAGCAATGAACTCAATCCCTCCAGTGGAACAAACTTCCGTCTCACGCCAGAGAAGTCCCTGTTGGGTTCCATAACCAAATAATCCCTGCGGAAGTTGAAAGGATCTTCAGACCAAATCTCAAAGCCCTCCATCAACCAGTCGGCACCGGTCAATGAAATCAACCTCAAGATGTGAACAGGAACCTCTTTCTGCCTCTTGTCAGGACCTGAAGTCTTACTCCTCCCAAGGACCATCCGGAGTCCGTAGTTTGACAAAGTCGACCTGTGTGGAATGATGGCCTGGACGTCATCGCATCTCAATGAGCCCCAAACCATACACAATGCGACCCAAGCTAATGCCCTGTCAAACAATGCAGACTCCTGATCAACCACTACGAGCTCGAGTGACACGAGAATTGCGACCGTGAACATTTCTGCAGGCTTGCGAGGCGGGGCGTCCTCCGAGAGCTCGGCAGTCCATGACTTCACATGTGACTTCCAAAGTTCATCAGATGAAATGCGCTCACAATCCGGAACTTTTCCAACCTGCTCCAACAATGTCAAGGAAATATGGAAAGATTCAGGAACTGTTCTCCCACAGCCGTCATCAACCCTGTGTTGAACATAGTCGATAGTGTCTTTGACAGAGTTTGGAAATACTCTCCCTCGATGAAGTTCCAACCAGTCTCGAAAAGGTTTCCATGCCTTGTATCGATTCTTCAATGTATTTGCTCTCCTAGCCGCAAAGATGTGTATCCACCCCGAAGCCTGATCATCTAAGGTCTCAACCAAACGTGCCACTGGAAGCCGTGCCTCCTGAATCACAGCGGCAAGCAACCTTGAGTACTTCTTCCGCTCTTCCTCAAAACGCCTGGTGCGAGCATCTGGTGCCTCATCCCGATGAGCCTTCATGCGCTTCTTTGCTGCAAACTCCAAGACACAAAGAGAACTCGTTTGAGTGATCTTCACAAAAGAATCTGCTACTGACGAAGGAGGGGCTGCGAGGGGTTGGCACAAAGCAGCATCTACGATTCCCAACCGGGCCCTCTTGAGTACACGTGCGGAGTCGATCCGCCAAGTCTCAAGAGCCGCCCTCCAATCTAAGATCTGCTCCCCTGTTGCATCCGGAAACAAAGATGTCAAGAGCCCACCTGCCCCCTCCTCATCGTCAAAAGAAGCACCGAGAATCAATGGGTCACTGAAAACCAGCTTGACCCCCGCCAGAACCTCATCTGGCAGCACTGGCCAGGAAGGCATTGCTCACGCCCGCCCCGCGGGCGCAGCGCGCCCCCCACCCTTCAAAGCTCTTGTGAGCCAGTGCTCACCGGCGAGTGGAGATTTGAAGCATCCAAGTGCAATGTGTCATCAAAAGCTTTACTTATTAAAGACTAATGAATCGAATGCAATCGACAGGAACTGCAACGAATGCAACTGAAGTCAAAAATTAAATTTTCGAAGGTTCCAAAGGATCACAACAAATCCGGAAATCGTTTTTCGAAAAATTGCAAAGCAAAAGCTGATGAGGTGCGTGGATACGACATAGGGCCACAGGCCAAAGAAACAACACAATGGATCGACAGCAAACACCACGGAGTGCCAATTCATTCACAAACAATCAAGAAGGAACGAGGCAACCGGGTGCCACAGAGCAAACACAAAGACCCACCCACCCACCCAGCACTGACTATCGCATAGATACTCCGGGCACGCCCAGAGATACTTCTTCGCACTTGAAGCCGATGCGTCGGACTCTCGTTCCCTCGTGACCCGAGCCTCTTGGATCCGCCGGTACTTCTCTGCGGCTTCTTCTTCCGAAGTGAGAGTCTCGATACCTCTCTTCTCTGCCGCTCTTGCACTCTTGAACTCTGCAGTCGCCTTCTTCGCTTCGGTAAGCTTGGCCTTGTCGACCTCTCGGATCATATCCTGGGCCTTCTGTGCAAGATTCTCCTCGGCGATTGCCTTCTGTTCTTCTGTCAGAGGACGGCTCTTGGCCTTTGGCTTGCTGACAGGCGGCGTCTTCGGTTCTGGTACCTCTTCCGGCTTGACGATCGCCGGGGTCATAGGTGTCTCCACCGGAGACGGAACTGGTGGCTGCTTCGGCGGCGGAATTGGTGGCTGTTTTGCCGGTGGTTGCCATCCGGGCGGCGGCCTGGGGGCGGCTTTGGGCCGATAGGCCGAGATTTGGCCTTGATCGGTAAGACCTTAAGGCGATCTTCGGAGCTTGACCGATTCGTCCACAAGATCTTCAGGTTTGCCTCCGTCAGCTCGAGAACCGTGGGTGTCTCGCTCGGGGCTATCTCCGACGTCAAGTCGGAAGAATTGGCAACGCTGAGGGCCGCGTTGTCTGCTGGTCTCATTATTGATCGAACCTGAGACGTGAATTTGACTTCATGTTGCGGTCTGCGCTTCATGAAGTATGCCTGCGCATTTTCCTAAGCGTCTTAACAGACTACACGTATACGCTGGTAAGCATTGGAACATATTGAAGCAGATAGGGATTTGTGGCAAGGACACCATCCAACCAAATGGGGCACGCTAAACTCACTGAAGGGAAGGAAAATGAAAAGAAAAGCTTCCATTGTGAAACGCAATTCTTTGAAGACACGCCTTAAAAGTTCTAGACAGCTCAAATGCTGCACGGGTTATCGAAACGCCCATCGCAGCTGGGAAGAACATTTTTTCGTTCGTACGGGGGGTCGTTGCGGGCGGGGTGACCAGGTTCGATAACAAGCAGACCGCCCACCAAAATGTTGCACACACAATCCGCTGAGGGAAGGAAGGAAGGTGGAGAGAGAATCTGTAAATATTGAAGACAGATCCACGTATGGGATGAAAGGTACGAATCTATATAGCCCAAATCTAACTTTGAGTATAGTATTGAAAAGTCTTTATGACCAGTCAGGTTTGAACGGCGGGAACAACGATCTAGAACGAGCGCATATTAGAATCATAGTGAGAGGCTTTGAAAAGGAAACAAAAACACCAGGCCATGTAGGTCCGAAAGCGCGCATCTCCAAAACATTTGCATTTTCACTGAAGGTGAGAAGGCGGCACATGGCCCCCGCACAGCAGCTCTTTGCCAAAACAATGTCACACACTAGCCGTTATATTTTTCTGGCAGCCCGCTGTCACACACGTACCCATCTATTTTTGTAAGAAAATCTAGTTTTGCTTTTTGTTTGCGCGAAAAACAAGAAAACGATACTTTCTAGATGATTTTCGCCAGTAATTCAGCAAAAAGTCTAGTTTTTGCCAATGAAATAACCATTTTCTGCGAGAAAACAAAGAAAACATTAAAAAGTGCACCGGTCAAGCGCAAACCAAACCCGAGCCACCTCCGAGCCACACCCGAGCCACTTCCGAGCCACTTCCGAGCCACACCCGAGCCACTTCCGAGCCACTTCCGAGCCACTTCCGAGCCACGCCCGAGCCACTCCCGAGCCACTTCCGAGCCATTTTCGATCCATTTCTGAGTTGTCAACGTCTAAATCGCACCAAAATAGATATTCTTTGGCAGCAGCGTGAAAAAGCTAGCAGTTTTGTAAAATTTGACAACAAAAAATGTGAATTTGACAGTTTTCATCTCAGTTAAGACTGGCTGCCTGCAAACAGGAAAATTACTCACTAGTTTAAGTTCCTGCCGCTGTTTGCAGACAGTCTTTGGTCTACAACGTTGAACGTTCCAACGTGGAATACCCACCAATTCATCTTGCAATTTCTGTTGCGCCATGGCCTTTAATCTTTCCCATGTAGATGTCCTCAAACCCGGGCGCTTCGCAAAAATCAAAAAATGTGTGGGGTCAAAATTGAAAAGCCCCGCGTGGAACATGCTATTTGTGAAGAAAACAAGGGCGCTAAAAACAACCTTACAAACCCAAAACCATCATCTTCATTTAGAGGCACAAAATTGCACAAACACCCGCAATGCCAACGCAGGCTACCCAAACCCTTAGACTTTTTTCGGCCGGTTTCAAGTTTCATAAACACGCAACACGCGGCGCATTTATATACACTAGATCTGCGTTTTAGCGGAAACTGCACAGGATTCTGCACAGGCGGAAACCCACGTGTTTGTTGTTGATGTTGTTGTTGCTGTTGTTGTTTAAAGAAACAAACATTAAAACACATTATGTATTACACTTGTAATCATCGAATTTGGCACAGAACGCTGGCAAGATCCGAATCAGAGCATTTACTATTTAATCCTTCTCAACTTAATACATACAAAACTGCACAAACACCCGCAAAGCCAACACAGATCTTTTGAACCCATTTCAAAACAACAAACGCCAGTCCAACAAGACCGTTAGGAAAATGTACAAGTATGCCGTTCCTGGCCTGACTTCCTGCGCCCGCTTGGTCAAATCCCCACTCTCGGTGGCAGAGATGCGGAGAACCACTTCGCTGGTCACCTTCTCGTCGCCCTACCAATCCCGAAGATCCCCCTTCGCTCTTGGCATTGGGTCCCTCTGATGGGGCTGGTGGCGCATCTGGCTTCGCTGAACCAGCCAACTCTGGCGACATTTCTCCCAAGTCCGCAAGGTCCGATTCCGCGATCTCCGACGCCGTCAGGCTGACCAGTCAGATCCCTCACATCCCTGAGAGCTTCACTTCCACAAATCCCTTGGTCACCCTCTCTGGCGCTTGGGATCCTGATGCTCGTGGTCGACGCTTCGGCGCAACCCATGCCCTGCGCCGGTTCTGCGCCATGTATTCTCCCTTTGCGGTAACACGGGAGGCTTGAACTTCGCGTTCGACCAGGCGCAACCTCACGGTCCTTTCCATCCGAGGATGCTTGGTGTCGCTCTTCAGCACCTTTCGAACTGATCCCTTTGGAGCAACATCTGCTCTCGTGATGGTATATGATTTCTTGATAGACGGACCTTTGCAGATGGCCTGTCGCTTCCCTTCGGCCCTGTCTTCTCGGCGTTGTTTCTGAAGAAGTCTCTGGCGTTCCCGATTCCTGACCCTTCAGGCTTCTTCCTTCTCGTCCTGCCGACACAACCATGCGCTCCAAGACTTCATCTTGAACGACGTCGTCTTCTCTTGCTCGGCAGCTTCTTCCGGAGCCTCCCTCTGATCGGTATAGGCTTCTCTTCCGCCTTCTCTGGAGACTTCGCTGTCTCGAAAGGCTTCTCGGGAATCTCGGGCTCGGGAAGTTTCTCCGGTCCCTTTTCCTTTTCTGTCTGTTCCGGAGGCTTCACGATCACTTCGGTGCTTTCCTCGGGCTCCATCGTGACAAGGACAACTTTTCGCGTCCCTTCCTCTGGCGCGGTAGTTCCTTTGACTTCCGTCTCGGATGCGGTACTTTCCTTCTATTCCGATGACCCCCTTTCCACACGTTGCCCGGTCTGGGCGATCACTGTACCTGGCGCCGGCTCTGCCGGTTCTTCCGTGACCGTGCTCGGACTCTGAGCGTTCTTCTTCTCTCCGCTCAACTCCGTGGTATCGACCCAAGCATCCGAAGGCATGCTCCACTCGACGAAACCTGGGCTGGACGGGGTCCGCACAGTCAATTCGCTCGTGCACCAAACTTGAACCGTCACGCTCTGCAACACGCAAAACCGAATCTCGAACTGCATTGCGCATGGTCGAATGACGAACAACATGGTGCGAACTGGAGTCAACATCGGACGTGTACTGCAACGAACGGAGTGACGATGACATGTCAATGTCGATGGCTCCTGGGTGGACAATTGAGATCCAAGGAACATTACACCAAAGGAAAAGAGTTCTACCGCTCCTAGTTCTATACCTGGTCGTGACCTCCGAGATGAGAGAGGGATAAACATGGTGGCTTCGCCGGTTTATCTACCTCTCTGGAGGTTCGGGAACCGCTCTTGCCAGGCGAACATGTAAACGTCCAACCTTTACTGGCAAGAAGAGCAACACTCAACAAACTAACCTGTCCGCATCCTATCAGCGCTGTGA